GTTTAAACGTGTTTGCACCCTATTCCGCCATTTTGAATCGCTGATCCTTTTTAAAAATATTTATTTATTTATTTATAGAGGCAGAGTGACAAAGTGACAGAGAAAGAGAGAAAAGACAGAGAGACATCTTCCATCTGCTTATTCACTTCCCAAGTGGCCACAATGCCCAGGTCAAAACCAGGAGCCCAGAACTCCACCCAGGTCTCTCACAAGGGTGGCGGGGCCCGGTTACTTGGCTCAGTTTGTGTGCTTTTCCCAGGCAAATGGATCAAAAGTGGAACAGCAGTATTTGAACCCACACTCTGATATAGGATGCCAGCATGACAAGTGGGGCCTTAACCTGTGTGCCATAATGCTGATCACAACATTAGATTTTTTTCAAACATGTATTTTGGAGTTTTAGTTTTCAGGTTTATTGTGAGTAGAAGATTCTTCTCAAAACAGTCCATATCCTCTTCTGCTTTTGTGTTGGGTTTTTATTTCCATCTTCTCAGCTCTCTTAGAACCTCAAGTACAGGCCTTGGCAGTTTGGGGCTCATGCAAATGTAGAAGCATGTTACAGACAGGGACAGACTAAGTAAGTGGCTTAACTTGACTCTGGAGGCTTAGGGCTTAAAGGCTCATCTTCCTGCTTCTGCACCCCCAGAGAAAATAAGCCCATCCAAGGCCTTCTCTCACAGCACAGACCCCCCAGTGACATCAAAGGTGGGCTCAGCTCTAGTTCCCTAACACCTGGCAGCCAGATGGAAGCTCAGCAGCCCTGAGGCTGGGGCTTGCCCCATTTCCTCCTTGTTCCATGGATCTTGCTCGTTTTGGGGACTGGCAGTGCGTAGTGCTGCTGTGTATTTGCCGCAGAACACAGGGGATACTTCCCAGCATCAGCTCACTGCGCCAGCATGACTAGGATGTTTTCACTTGACAGTTTGTTTGGATACTTTTCTCCTCCGTCCCTGACTTGAGCTGACCCCTGCAAGCATTGTGGATGCTGTTTTGGAAGGGAGATAAATATAAATGACTTAGGGTACCAAAGACGACCAATGATCAGGGTCGGAGTTAAGGGAGACGGTGAGGAGGAAATGGATTCAGGAGACATTTGGTGGATATAATCCACAGGCATGTGTAACTGATTTGGGGCGTGTGTGTGTACATTTCTAATAAGAGTGGGAAGAGGATGGGTATTGAAAGAATAGGCTTTGGTACAGCAATGAATCAGTAGTAAGATGTTTCATAACTACTATTTGATGCATAACACATTTTTCTGAAGATTATATGTTATGTACTTTTCCTGGTTGTACACTTCAGTGTTCACGGTCTTTAGATTTATCATATTCCCAAGCCTCTTTACGTGGTGCCCAGTTGTAAGCTTTATAAAGATTCCTCCTCACATTTGGGAATGTTTGTCCTCGTTATCTTCATTTATTATTTTACAAAATTTTTCATATGTAGTTCTGGCCATCATGGACATTACAGTGAAATAGAGGAAAAAGATACTTACGAGAAGTGCAGTTACAAACTGGAACTGTAAGACTGTGCCAAGTGCTAGGAGAGTACAGAAGCTTAGAGCAGTGGTGTCTAGGGCCAGGGGGATGTGTGGGTGTGCCGGGAGGGGTTACTGTCACTGATAACAATGCAGTTACGGTAGTGTCTGGCTTTAGTCTCATTGTAACCTGCACATTGACTAATCTTTTAACTTGGTTTTTAAAATAATATCTTTGGATAGCAATCTGTTGCATAATTAAAATCTTATTTCAAAAAGAATCTTTTCTATTTTCTTGTCCCCTTTTCTTTCAGGCACAAAGCAGTTGTTGCCCAAGTTTAAACTCTCAGCACTATCATATTCCGTATTCCAGAATATTCTATATTCTGGTTACTGTGTCTTCCTTCCTTCCTTTTCTGGGTTTACAGGATAGAAGGGAGTAGATGTTGTCTCATTGTTAGTGTTGCAATTGCTTAGTTCACCCCTGGGGCCTGTTTGTGGGGTCCTTCTTGGATGTCCTCCCATTTGCTTCCCTCCGGCCAAGTTAGTACACAACAAATTGAGGTCGTAGAGTGTGAAATTCACCTCTGGGTGACATCGTCCCTGGTTTGTAAGCTTTCCTGACCTGACCTTGCTGGCACTGCTGACTTCTACCTCAGGGAGGAGCCCGGGTAGTGGGGAGGAGAGGTCCCCAAGCACGGTCCACTTGGTGTATCTGCTTGTCTCTTAGGACTGTTGCAGCAGCCCTCAGAACCCACAGTCCACACAGATTCCTGGTGGAGTATTCTGCCCTTATTGATTTTATTTATTTGAGGAGAAAGAAAAGGAGAGAGAGAGTGAACACAAATGTCTTCCAACTGCTGGTTTACTCCCCAAATTCCCACAATAGCTGTCGGGCAGTCTGAAGCCAGGAACCTAGAGTTCCTTGTAGGTCTCCCACATGGGTGGCAAAGCCCCAAGTACTTGAGCCGTCATCAGCCCGTGCAAGGTGCACAGTAGCAGAAAGTCTTGAACACAAGAAGTCTGATTTGTGAGGCAGGTACCCCAGGTCATGTCTTAGAACTTTGTGAAATCCTGCCCTTATTTCAGAGCTTATTTAGACCAAACAACTTTTTTCCGGAAGCCAACTTGTCACTTGGCTTCAGTATCTTTCCATATACTGTGGTTCCATTGCATTATATCAGGGAGAAAGTGTGAAGGGTTTTTGATCATTTGTTTCTTTTTTGATTCATTCATTGAGTAAATACTTGTGAGCATACACTGTTTGCCAATTGTCAGATTCAGTGAGTTAATTTTGGTGAAGCTGGCAACCTGAGCCACAGTTTTTGATACTGATCAAATCAGTCCTTAGTGAGGTGATAGATAATCTGGTCTCTGTCATTTAAATGGGCCCTAGAGTTGACCATTTCTCATCACTTTAACCTTGGCCAATTGTTGTTAGAAAATAGCAGTACTTTAATTCATCATGCTTAAAAGCCCAAAATATCCATCTTTGGAGACTTTGCCAATTTACTTCTGGAAGAAGGCTGGGGAAGACCGTACTTACGTGAGTTGGTCACAGAATGCAGAGAGGTAACTGGTTTCCATGATTTCTTCTCCTGTGGGAGAGTTTAGAATAGTACTCAGACTGGTACTTGAATGAATTACAGGTTGTAGTGTACTTTATGTCTGTAAATTAAACTGAACAGATCTGCTTATACTGCTTTTCAGACAGGCTGCAGCCCAGGCAGATGCCTGAGGGCAGAGCTGTCACTGCACTTCGGCTTGACTATACTTTGCCCGTTACTAATACTAACAAATTGTTTTCACAGGATATTGAGTCAAAGAAAAGTCAAAGCCTCTCTCCCTTTTCTAGTCTCACCACAGTAGCACTCCTTTAAACTAATAAATATTATCGATGTTGTAAGTAGACAATCTGCCTGATCATCTGTATCTTTTATGCAACTGTAACAAAATACCAGAGCAATTTGTAAAGAATAGAACATCTGCTGCAGTTCCTGCTGGTGTGTGTGAGGGCCGAGTGTGTGGTAAGCATGGTTAGGCTGGACCACAACATCCATTGGTTTGCGCATGAAATGGGGCTGGGGACAGAACTGACCAGATGATTGCAACCACCAACGTGCATGTGTGTGTAGGCTGATATGGGTGATGGACAGAACCGGACCCCACCCTGGCTGGCACACCCAAGAGTTAATACCTGGGGTCATTTCAGCAAAGTTTTTTTGGGGAGCTCCCACCCCCACCCAATTAGACTGCTGGACTCAAAACTCCAACCACAGGGAAAATCACAGGATCTGTGGCCTGGTTGTGGAGCGCATGTGTCAGAATGGGCCTCTTCGGTTGCTGAAGCCTGTGCAGTGGACAACATGCCAAGATGCACATGGGCAACATGACAGATCATTGTGGCCTGCAGAGGACATCTAGTGCCATGGCAGAAGATGCAGGGCAGAACAGATTGGATAGCTCTTCCAGCCAAGCTTTGATAGCAAGTCTCTGAGCAAGTGGAAACTCTAAGGTAAATTAAGTCAGCCAATGAACCTTGAAAGGATTTTCTCAACCTTGGAACAGTGAAATGAACAGCATCTGAGAACTATCAGGACCACTTAAGCTGTACCCTCGAAGAATACACCAGAAACCCTAGGATGGCACTGGGTGGCCATCTGCCACTCATGGATACTGAGGCAGTTGGGCTCCTGGGAGTGGCCCTCTCCCTTACCTTCCTTACCCCAGATACAGAAAGAAAGAGGGGATTGAAAGCCATTGTCTTATTCACTTTCCCCCATTCCTCAACCCTTTCCACATGAATCACTGGCTCAGTGGGCATATATCCTTCTCAACTATGTAAACATCATCAAAAAATAAAATTTCTTAAAAAAAAAAAAGCACTTTCATGTTCTCATGTGGTATCAGGCAGAAGGTGGCAAAAGACTAACACTGCATGGATGCTCGTTGATAAGGCCTTAATCCCGTTCATGAGGAAGGAGCCCTCAGGCCTAAACACCTTGACAGGGACCTGACCTCTTAATGCCATCGTGACCATCGTGATGGCAGTGCCTAGGTTCTGGAGGGCACCCATTCACCCAGAAGGCACCTGGGCACTTCTCATCCACGTCTCTTTATGAACACACACGGTAGTTTATTTTCTCCTTAATTTTACGAATGGTTTTTACTTTAAATCTTTGGCAATAGGCCCTGGTCATACATCTAGGTCAGTATGTCTAGATCTAATTCATTCATCTTCTTTGATGCGATGTTGTATGATTTATTGCAGTTTGTATTGCTTTTAAAAGGAAAAGCAATAATGTACTTAATGTGAAAAATGTAATGCCAATCTGTGGCGTGATTTCATCATAATGATTTATTTACTTCTCACAGTACACGGAGAGGAGCGTGTTTATGGGCAGTTCCTCATTTACAACAGGTTTTTGACTTTGCTCAGTTTTGCTTTCTTTTTAGAATACAAATTGTTATTACAGTGTTAGCTAGAGTTTCCTTTTACAAGCAAATGCAATGCATTTTTCAGGTTATTATATTCGGGAAAAGTCTAAGCAACTCATGACATTGCTGATGGACGAGCAGCTGCTGCACAGAGAGAGGGAAGTGGCGAGTCGGACTCGACGGCGCACCTCCTACTCCATGGCGTTTCCTAAAAAATTACCTGGTGCAGGGAACTCACCAACAGCCTGCGCATCTGCCCCCACGCCAGAAATCCCTACCTCCCAGAAGAAACAAAAGATAACAAGCCTGAGAAGTAAAAGTAAGTACAGTGAACGTGGACTTACAGTGCCAGAGGTGAGGCTTAAGAGCAATTCAGAAGTGTAAATGATCAGATTTCATAATGGGCCATAAGTGTTATATCAACATTACTATGTTATACGTTGTACTGTGGAGAGGAGGAAGGTTTAATTTATCACTGGAATAAACTGTTCTCTAAGGGTCTGGGTATGTGTGCTTGGGCACTGATTCTGCGCATGAAGAAACTGAGTTTTCTAAAATGCCTCAAAATTCTGAAAGTACTTCAAAATTTCTTCTAGAATAGTACTCTATACTGTTTAGTTTGCATAAATCTTGAAGCCAGGATGACTGAACTTTTTTTTTTTAATAAAAGAGCTTGTTTATGATGTTATTATAGAAATCAGTGGGAAAAATGAAAGTAGAAGGATCTTTTCTACTGAATTTGCCAGAACATTAAAAATGTTGTTTTAGGGCCTGGCACAGTAGCCTAGTGGCTAAAGTCCTCCCCTTGAACGTGCTGGGATACCATATGGGCACTGGTTAAATCCCAGCAGCACCGCTTCCCATTCAGCTTCCTGTTTGCACCCTGGGAAAGCAGTAGAGGATAGCCGATAGCCTTGGAACCCTGCACCCACATGGGAGACCCGGAAGAAGCTCTGAGCTCCTGGCTTCAGATTGGCTCTGCTCCAGCTGTTGCAGACACTTGTGGAGTGACTCAACAGATGGAAGATCTTCCTCTCTGTCTATCTGACTTTCCAATTAAAATGAAATAAATCTTTTTTAAAAGAAGTAAGCAATTTGAGGGGGCAAGCAAATTAATGAAATGTGACTTAGATAACTGTTCCTTGAAAGAAAGTAAACTTTGTCCCCTAAGGTGAGGGACACAGTGGGAATAGTATGGATACAAGTGTTTTCAGAGGCTTACTTCCGGGCTTCTTGAGTGAATATTGTGCTGTGGTTTGGGAGGTTATTAGGGTGTGGGGATGGAGTGGGGATGGAGTAGGGGGGTACGCCTCATGAAGAGACTCTCAGAGGCTTGGTCAGCTTCCTGTGGCCAAGCGAGACTCCAGCCGGGGGTCTGCACCTGCAGCCCAGAACAGGATCCTGACCTTGTGGGCCTCCTGAGCTAGCCCTCAGAACTGTGAGAAACCATCTCTGCTCCTAGGGTGTTAGGTTGTGAGCAGCCTGAGCTTAGCTGCTGTAAAGGAAGAACCCCAAAGCAGGTATGCAGCTGTTCAGTGTGAACAGATAACTTGAAGTGTCAGGTGTGGGAAATCAAAAATGTTAATTACATTATTGAAGGAAAATTAAATTGTTGAATTAAACATTAATTAAAATGTGAATAATACCAATAATACCAATTTTTGAGATAGAGATAGAGAGGGAGAGAGAGAAGGAGGGACAGTTGGTTGTTGAAATTATGAGAGCAAATAGCACTCAAATACTTCTGAACGTTGTGGAACCTCTTCTGCCCATTTCTTTTGAAATAAAATCTTGAAAAGGGTTCGCAGTTCATTCTGAAATCACCTCATGAAGGCCTGAGGTTTAAAACTGGTTCTAAAAATAGCATTGCAGAGTCAAACAGCCACTTAAGTCTCCTCCAGAGTTGCTTCATCCCCTCTGCTACTTCCCTTGATCTTCCTTCTTCTGTATCTTTTCTTCTTTCCTGTTTCATTGTAAACACACAATTTATTGAATGTATTATTTGGAATTTAAGTATCCAGAAACCTGGAGCTATGGCAGTGAATGAAGTACAACTCCTTCAGTCGTAGGATTAACATTCTAGTGATAGAAATGGACATTAAACAAAGAGCAAAATAAATATAAAGCATGTCAATAGCAGTCTGTATGACACCAAAGACGGAGTCAGCTGACTGAGTGGTAGGGGTCACTTTATTGGAGGCCATGTGGAGGAGGTGACTACTGAGGGTGAGCCTCGAATGCAGCGAGAGACCCATCAGCACAGGGACCGGCAGAAGCAAGCGCTCTGAATGAAGCCACCTCCGTCAGGTTCGCCGTCAGCTTCACCTCCTAAGTCACTGCTGAGGCGTTGTTATGGTTCATACCAGAAACTCTGGAGTATTGCTTTATAGACACATGAGGTTTCTTCTTCTTCTTCCTCTTCCTCTTCCCCTCCTCTTCTTCCCTTTCCCCTTCTTCTTCTTCTGTCATTTCCCCACTTTATGACATACTGTTCCCTACACTGAGCTCTGCATTATTTTCGACCTTTTAAAACAGGTTTTCAGTTTACTGTCAAAGTTTTGCTCCCAGTATATGCCAACCACTCTTGTAGGCATGGCACGCAAATTAGGTGTTTGCTCATGGAGGTTATGTCTTGAGATGCACTGTTTATTTTCACATATGTTTCATAAAAAATGTTACAGAAGAGACTTGCTTAGAGATTAGTGATGACATCATCAAAGTAAATGCCAAGTCGAAATAGAAACAGAACAATTCAGAGGGACTAGCAAATGTAAATACTATCATTGTTTTAAAGTCTTAGTTTTGTTTTTGTTTTATATATTTAGTATGCATACAGCATACTGGTTTTCTATTTTTCATTAACTTTTTGAAGTACTTATATATACTAGATATATAGATATGTCTATTTCTGTTTGGAAAAGAGTGACTGGATTAAATAAATTTAGCAGCACTGTTTCCCATGTAGATATCTGAATCTGAATCTGAAGTTAAAGGAAGAGTGAAAACTAACACTTTGGGAGGGAGTTGGAAAGGATAAGAAGTTGAATTGGGAGAGCATTCCTTGAAGGGTAGGCAAAGTACTGAAGGAACGCGTAGGAGATGGCTGGATGGGTTAGAAGTGGGAAAGGCTGGAAGTGGTAGTAGTAGAGGCCACACAGATCCTGGGACTATTGCTGTCTTCCCTAAATAGCTAGGTTTTCTAGGCTAAAAACGTGACTCTGGACCTAGCATAGCAGCCCAGTGGCTAAAGTCCTGTCCTTGGCATGCGTCGGGATCCCATCTGGACAACTTGGAATGAACCAGCAAATGAAGATCTGTGTGTTTCTCTTTATGTGTTTCTGTGTTGCTCAGCTTTCCAGATTAACCAATTAGTGTTCACTTTGGCAATACCTGTACTAAAACTGGAATAATACAGAGATCACCAAATGGATTAATTAATCTTTAAAAAAATGTTCATAGAAGATGCACATTATGAAAAAGTCTATGCATGGATTTCGGTTTTTGCACCCAAGTAAATATCTCTTAATACTCTTTGTCATGAGCTTTTTGAAGTTCCTTGTATGTGGTTGCCCAGCTAAGTGGTATAAAATCTATTCATTTGAATCTGTAGAGAATTGAGCACACAGCTAAGAGTACTCAGAGCAGTTCGTTGAAGACATAGTAAACACTGTTGGACATTTCAATTTGAGAAGCCTAGCAACTACAAACTGTTGTAGGGCTTGAAGAACAGAAGGGATGTTTTGCTTAGTCACAAAACTTGGCTTTCTTATTACTGAAAACAGCTGTTGGAAGATTATTCTTACTGCTTTGTAAGGAAACCCAAATTGGGCCAGAAGTTTTCCAAGAGACAGTTTGAATCCGTGCTTATAAGACCCTTCTCTGGGATTGTGGAGACAAGGGAGAGTATTGTTTAAAGAGAGCATGGGAGGTAGGGAGGCAGTGGGATCAGTGGCTGGTGGGAAACAAAGGGAGAAATGAAAAATGGCAATAACATTGGAGTCGGGGGAAATGGAGGCAAGCGAGTGTGCCACACAGGTAAACCTCTGCCAGAAGGTATTTAACGATGTCTCTAAGTTATTTAGTTGTAGTGAAATAAAAATCATTGCTGGAAATCGGATTTCCAAGCTTTAGCAGCTAGAGCCAGCACATCTGCAATTTACTTCTTCATGGTGAATTAGCAAGAGAAATGAGGTACTCAAAGAAGGCATTGTATACACATTAATACTTATTTTTTGCCTATTCCTGAATATTTACACTGGTTTTAATTCTAGAGGATAACTTGTGTGGTTTCTGTTTGATGCTTTTGCTGTTTGAAGGGGATGAACTGAAGGGTACCTGCTACTGGATGGCAAGACAGGAAACTACAGACAGCACAGTTACATCACAGCTTCCCTGAGCTGTAAGCATCAGCGGTAGGCTCTTTGCTCAAGGCAGTACTTACTACAAAAACTGCGTCTGCAAAGATTGCTTACCAAGTGTTTGCCTGCGGTGCTTGTTTCAGTGTTCATGAAGAGCTCTTGAGTGGTCATCTCTGCAGTGGATTTCATCTACATGAAAGGATGACCCTCTGGATCATGTTACATGTAATGGAGTTTTGTATTAAGGGAATATTTTCCTGAAAATATGATACGATTGATTTTAAGCCATAAGTTATACTGGAATCATTTCTTCTGACAGGTGTTCGGTGGATTCTTTAGGATTTTCTTTATACAATGTGCAAAGCTTAATTTCCTCCTTTGCTAGTTGTATTTACGTTACTTTTTTTCTTCTCTAATTGCTCTGACCAGGGCTTCTGGTATTGGTGAATGTAACACTGCTTATGTGTTGAACGTGAGTGGTAAAGGTGGATGTTCTTGTTCTCGGTCTTAGAGAAAGAGTTTTCACCTCTCCTGTGTTCAGTATGATACTAGCTATTCAGTTTGTCATAGATGACCTCCATTGTGTTGCAGTACATTCCTTCTAAAACTGATTTATAGAAACTTTTCTGTATCATGAAGGTATATTGGATATTTATCTGCATCTGTTAAAATGATCTTATTGTTTTGTACTTTTTTTCTGTTGATGTAGTAGATCTCACATCTATTTATTTGCATGTCTGAACCATTCGTACATCCTTGGGATGGATTCTACTTTGGTCATAATGATCTTTTTACTATGCTGCTGAATTAAACTATTTACAAATTATACATCTGAGAAGGAGTTAATGTCCAGAATATGTAAGCAATTCAACCATTTAATAGCACAATAACAAATGGTCCAATTATAGGGCCAAACATCTGAATAGAAATTTCTCAGAACACTTAAAAATGGCCAGCAGAT